TTTAAAAAAATAATTTTAAAATTTTCGATTCGCACAATCTTTTTCAATATCTCGAAATTGTTTCCAGCCAGAAGCAAGATTTCTCAAGAGCGAAGGCCAACTTCCCTAGAAGGCTGAGTGTGAAACCACGTGTTCTCTTACCTCCTAAATTCCGATCTTTCGTTATGGTATCCCAGTATCCTTGAAACGGCAAAAGTATCCTTGAACGGTTCACCAATGCACTCGAAAGTGGGATAGAAGGAGAGAACTGTCTCTGAGGAAATGTTATCGATACTTATGCATCGATAGAGAAGGCACAAGAGAGAAGGTGAACACTTGGAAAGGTCGTTCGATCGGTGGCAAGTTGAAAGAGTGGAGGTCAGTTGATCGAGTTGAAGACGCGCGCGAAGATGAATTCACGGCGAGGATCGAACGGACGTAAGATACGATCTATCGTAGCCTGAGGCCGAGTTAGGACTGTGGACTCTGACAGACCACGGGCGAGAGAACGTAGCCAGCGAGCAGGGCTGCCAACTCTGGCCTCGCTCTCTCGCGGACCCCACCACGCGATGCACACTCTTGGTAGCGATAGGTGTGCGCGATCTGTCTCGAAGGGAACCGGTGAAATCGTACCGAGGAACGCCGATCTCTTATGGTTTGTCCTTTTAGAAACGTGTGTTGAAATGTTGAAATGATGAATAGGTGACCCCCTGCTGCTTTTTCTTTTCTTTTTTTTTTTTTTTTTTAAAGATATGAGGGGGTTTTATAAAGTGTTTGGAAAAAGTATGATTATGAATTTTTGTGAGCTTTTTTTTTTTTTTTTTTTTCTCTCCTAGATTTTAAGTAGAGTTCAGTCGAAGATAATTTATTGGAAGTTGTAAAGATTAGAAAAGTTTTTGAGATTTTTTTTAAGTATGAAGGTGAATTTTAAGTAGAATTAATTAGGTGTAGAATATAGTTGATCGGATACTTTGATCTTTGATCTAGAATAAGATATTTAGAAATAAGAAATTTTAAATATTGAGTGTAGTTTTTTTTTTTTTAATAAGTTGAGTAGGTAGTTTAATAAGTTTGTTGAAAGAATATGATTAAGTATCTTTGAGATCTTTTTTGTTTTTTAATGAATTTGTGAATTTTAAGATGTAAATTTTTAAATAGATAAAGTTGAAGATTGTAAGAATTATGATTAAATGTATCTAAGATACTTTATATTTTTAATGATGTGAATTTTAAATATTGAGTACATGTTCAAATTGTAAGTATTTTTACAAATTTATCAATATGTTTAAAATAATTAAAAACAATTGAAAACAGATTGATTAAAAGTTGTAACAAAGATGATTATCTTTGTATAGTTCATTGAAAATTCTTGAAATATATTGTTGATAATATAAGATTATATAAGGAATAAGTATATAAGGAATTTTAAATATTGAGTACAGTTTTTGTATTTGAAATTTATTAATATTTTGAAAAATTAATATAATTATTAATTAATATAAAATAATAAATTGAAAAAAATAATAGAAAATTTTCTATCATATGTGATGTTATAGATAATTATTGGAATAATCGATTGCCTAGAATAAATTTCATTATCTTTATTATTAATTCACGTTCATTCGTGAGATTGAATATAATTTTGATTAATATTATTATTATAATTTTGTTTCTTGTAAGTATCATATTTACATGAATTTACATATACTATTATAACTATATTATATAAAATTTAAACATCATTAAAAATATAGATTTCTATATTCCTATAAAATCACATCAGATATTGATAATCGCTTTCTTAAAGCAGAACACTTCTAAAAAAAATTTAAACAGATTTTCTATAAATATATTCTAATATAAAACATAGATCAAAAAGAAAAATTTGATAAAACAAATATCAAATATAATTTTTATTATTCAATCATTAATTTATTTTTCATTGTTAATCAATTATCATTAAAATATTTTAATATTTTATTTTTTTTATTTCATATGCATTCATATGCATTCTGTAGATTTTTCTACATTTAAATTTTTCATAAATGCATAAACAGTCTACACATAACTATATTATTATCATATACATATAATTAAATTGCAGATATTTATAAATGCAAAATATAATTTTTATTATTATAAAAATTAAGCTGAAAAAATTAAAGAAATTAATCTTAAATAGAGACTTATCTTATTCTTCAAATATATACTATATTTCGAATATTTTGTGCTTTTTTTGTTAAATTTTTTTATATTCAAACGCACAAACAGCGGTTTAATTATGTACAAACGATATTTACAAAACACACGATCATGAGATGTCACTCATCATTAATTAAGCAATCCATTCATCCATTTCTGCTTACAACAGTCGCTTGGTAACCGGTCATCCTCCTCAATCTTCAAAAAGAATATTGTACTTTATAAAACATCTCTCCTGCGCAATATCAAGATCTCACTAAAGATAAACGCGGCCTGTGCATAAAACATAATTCGTGAGAAGCATCACAATTTTACAGACCAAAGATAGGGAATATTTAATTTTTCATGCATAAGATGTTGTTTCGTACATCGAGCCATTCCATATTATCGATTATCACTTATTCGCGTCTCTCTTGAGCAGACCAAGAGCGAATTGTCTCCTCTTGGAGGTTGGCTTCTGATCTCTCTCTCTCTCTCTCTCTCTATGACTTATTGTTAGTCATATCGACCGACACTCGTCGTATATATTTTCTGACCCAGAAAGAGATTCTTGAGGGAGCGGAGACGAGAGAAAACAAGCGGCGGTGAATCGAGCTAAACGACTAACACGTCCATTGGCTAGTCGTATGTGGTTATTACAAATCAGGGAGTCATTACTTGTCAAACATGGTTACTTAATTTTGGGAGATATTATTAGGATATCTCAAAAGTTGAGTTGTATCTTTAAGTATTTGGTAAGATTCTGGAACAAGATTAGTGAAGATAAATATTTTTTAGTAAGAAACTTTTGTTTTGTATAATAAAATGAATCATAAAATAATAAGAAATTGAAATTTTAAAAAATATTATATATTTAAAAATGTAGTAGATATTTTATTGAGAATCGTTGTCTAATGTTTCATTTTGATTTCTATTTTTAAATAATAAGCAGAATAAATGGGAAATATAATACTTAGATTTTTAGAATAGATAAGTGGAAATAAATGTATAAATATATAGTAATAGCTGATATTATTTAAAAGTATAATAGCTATCTAATTACTGGAATTATAAAAAATATAATATGTAGATTTTTGAAATAAATAAATGGAAATATATAACTATAGGATTAATTATAGTAATGGAAAATTGAAATTTTTTGAAATATTATTTGAAAATGTGATTATCTTATTGATTTTATATCATAATTATTTATTTATATTATGAATATAGCTTCAATTTGTAACGTATAATCTTTTAATGAGTAATAAAAATTATCTTTATTTCTCATCGTCTATCTCAAAAATGCTCATACATTTTATGTAAACATCATTCGATATCTATTAGAAATATTTTTATTACGAATTTTATAAGAATTTATAAAATAATGATAAATCTTATCAATATAAGGAAAAATATTATAAAACAAATAAAGGTAGTGTTAATATTTTAAAAATACACATATTATATCAGTATCATGCATGTAGATATATATATAATGTCCAATGTAACTGGGACAAGTATTAAACTGTACAGTATTTAAAACCGTTAGAGATGAAAGAAAAAACGTCACGAGGTAAAATGAATTTTAAAAACGCAACTATTAAAGTACAACTCGCTCAATAAACTTGAACATTTTATATATAAAGTGTCTCATTTATTTTTGACATTTTGATTTTTTCAATATCATTATAAAAATTTCATATAAAAATTAAATAGTATTGGGAGGAGTATATTATTAATTTTTTTGTGAAAGTTACATGAAAGTCAATTTTTTTAATATATCAATCAATGCAACTCGACATTCTCTATATAAAACTCTATGTTAACTCATGTAAGCCTACTTTATTTTATTAATATATTTTATTTAGAATTAACTAAGATATTTTAATTTGTAAAATTTATTGAGGGATTCTATTCATACATTTTTTTATATAATAAATTCTACAAAATTTAGAAGGTGGAGTTGCATTAATTGATATATTAAAAAATATCTGCTTAATTCCATTTAAAAACAAAGTTGACTTTCATATGACCTTTATGCATTCGTTCAAGAGAATATATAAATAATGCATTAATAATACCAGAATATGTATCCCTTGACACCATTCGCTTTTCTGAAACATTTTTCACTACGAATAATATTTAAGAAAACCAAAGTATCAAAATAAGGTAAAACATTCTGTATATTTGAAAATCATGAAGTCTTCGTTGACCATGAACCATTTGCACATTTAATAACGCTTTAGAAATTGTTTAATTTTTAAATTTTTCATTGTATCTAGAATTCGTCAAGAATAAATGACGAATAAATACTAATATGATCTCATGTTACAACCTTGGCATAGCGACTGGCACAGGTGCAAGCGCGATATAATATCATTTCCTTTAGAATCATGGTTTAACTTACGAGATGATCAATTATGGTTTCTCTCAAGAGGAGACAAGAATACAACAAGTATTAACAGTTACTTGTTAATTTAATTGACAGATTACCACAGAAAAAAAAAGAAGGAGAAACATAAGAAAAGTATTGAAATACATCTGTGGATTTAGATGCGCAAAATGACGTAGCTAGATGTATTTATATGTATTTATTATTTTGATCTTTTATGTGCATGCATGACATTAGTTATTGATCGTTTCTATTTCTTTAAACGTTAAATGTGGTAATAAATCTAGCTTATTTACAATTCTATTCTCCTGAGTTAAAAAGTTTCATTATTTTTTTCTGAAAAATACATAAAGTTTTTTAATTAGAAGTCAAGTTTTAAAAATAAAAATATTTTAAATGGAATATTTTAACTAAAGAAAGCAGAATTTACAAATTTTTGTATTTCTATTTTTATATTATTTTATATAATATCTTATAATTTAAAAGATAATTATGAAAAAATGATTTTAAAAGCTCTTTAATTCAAACGCGTGTTTCGAGCAGCAATCATCAGTTTTAACAGGATTGATTATAATACTTACAATCCCATTAAAGCTACATACAGTGAACGCATGACAATGAGCCAGTACACGACAAAATTACTACAAATATTAATTCTCGCATTTTTTTTTTTTTTTTTGCCTGTCTATCATTTTTAAAAAAAAACATTTGCCCATTACAATCTCTCATCTTTCAGATTTCAAACTTATACTTTACCCATAATCCTGTACTCCTCAAAGAAGATTAATTTCACCAGTTTTTCTACTTAAAACGAGTCCTGTTAGAAGAGAAACTATGTAAGAGCCCAATACCAAGTTTTCACTTTTCTCTTCCACTTTCTTCCTCCATTCTTTTACAAAGGAACTCCTGTACGATCTGAAAACAACATTATACGTGTCAAGCAACTTCTCAATTGGAAAACGTCCTTGTTCCTTATATTTACGGATAAATACGTGAAAGAAATTGTTGTGAGCACACCTTTACCCATACAATGTCTTAGAGAGAGGAACCACTTAGGTAGAGCCACAGTAACTTTATAACATAAGCGTGCCAGTTGGTGGCAAATTTGCGGATGCGTGCAATTGGCATTGCCTATGCCCTGCCGTATATACCTATATGTTGGCAATGGCAAACCAGCCGTCCAATCGGCAGCTATGAAGCAGTTAACTTAATATAGGCACACTCGGAATGTGTGCCATCGACGACCTCGAGGCCTTCCCTAGGTCAGTGCTAATTCTCCAGAACCGACCACCTCTTCCGAATTTCCGGTCAACCTTCAAGACGTCGCCAACACAGATCAAAACCCACTTGCATCGTTATGACCTGATCTGTCTCTTTCTTCTTCGCTCCTCCTTTATCCTCGTTCGTTTATCCCTTTCGACGATAATATTCGATAATCGAATTTATCCCAAGAAAATGTCTGGTTAAAATGCTCGATAAAATGCATTTTTAATAGAATTAATAATGTTTCTTTAGTTTCTTCGTAAGATAAATCGATAATTTTACGTTGGATGGCCGCAATGAGTCTGAAAGAAAATTTGTCAAAATTATAATAGATATGTCATTGTGAAAATTGTGATTGATTGAAAAAAATATTGAGTTTAAGTTTTAGGAATAATTATGTGAAATCTAAAATTTTGATTTTTTCTTTTGATTGAATGAAAAAAGAGATTTTTTTGTATTGAAAATTGCAACTCAACTAATACGCCAAATGGCAGTAATGAGTTAGTAAAAGTAATAATGTAGATATATTATTGTAAAAATATTGATTGAAAAGTTGAGTTCAAATTTTAGAAATAATTATGTAATGTTTGTTATCTAATTCGAACAATATTCCATGAAGAAATCTGACATAAAAGTCATCGTTATTCGATTTAAAAAATATTTCATATTTATTCAGAACTTCCTGATGATATTGGTATTATTAGAAATTTACAACAAGATATTTGCTATAGTGATAGTGTCAATTACGAATCATGGCAAAAAGTTATCATATTTTTTTTTTAAAGATTGATAGAATTTTGATAAAATAAAACGAATAAAATATCTTTAATCTGATAAAAAAATTGTATGCAATAATTAACTTCTAAATTGATGACTCATCGTTACTATTTCAGTATGACATTTCATATTTTCGATGAATCAGTAGATGATAACGAACCGATAATATCTATTACAAAAATATTTCATAAATTATATTTATGATGCAAACTTTTAACTTAATAATAAAACTATAAAAATATCAATTCATGTGAAATTAACTTTCACTTGATAAAACAAGATTTTAAATTATTACACAAATTATTACCATTTTTTACTTTTCAATTTCTTGATGATTCCTTATCATTAATCGTATATTTAACATTTGTACGAAAAATATTTAAGAATAAATATTTCAAAGAGACAACATTTCACGCATGGTGAATCAACATTTTTATACATGCAATGAACAGGAATCGTACTCTTCAATTACAGACACGTGTGTCGTTCGAACGCGAAACATTCCTTGCCAACTAATCTAATTACATGACCACTGAATTAAAGTAACCCACGACAAATCACGTAGGAGTTTAATTAAATTTTATCAACTATATTCACGACAATATGATGAAGAATATCCATTGTTATTTTTCCTAGAGGGCGCTCGAAAGAATTTCTCGGTTCGAGGGAAGACAAATCAAAAGGAAATCTAATATCGTCGAAATTGCACTAGTTGTCCATGGCGGTTGTTATAGATATGCCTTGCGTAACACTTTATTATAGACGGTAAGTAAAAGAAACTTAACTTTATAATTTAGATATAATTTTAAACTTAACAAATTTTTTTTTCGTATCTAGCGAAAACTTAAAGACAAAAGCTAACCTCATTGCGAATCATGTTACGAATAAATGTAAAGTTACAAATAATATGATTATATCATTCATAACATACAGGTAAGAATATTTCATTAATAAAAAAATTTCAAAGACTTCGATTTTTATTTTACACTCTTCACAAAACTCTTCAAAATTTTGTTGTAACCAAAAATTTAAAAGCGTATCGCTTGATGATCGACAACTTATTCTCGATTTAATTCTTAAAACGAGAATTAAATCGTTTAACTTTATTTTATTCTTTATCGATTTATCCTTATTTTTATAAAATTATTCCTTTCTTAATTTTCAAATCATAAATTGAATCACTTTTGATTTATATCTAAATTATATACGCTAAATATCACTTATATCATCGGATTATGAGTCAAAAGTGATCTATATTGGCTACGAATGAAAATTTAAAAGTTAATACATATTTTAATATATGATATATGATTAAAACATGAATGACACATTTTTCATCATTTAGTTGATTTGAATAATTGGCACCGAATCTTCAAGTTGGAAATATGCAGTTCGATAAAATGGTCCACGCAAAGATATTACGTTACGCCCACGCAATAAACGGCGTTAACACGAGAATGTTAAGAGTTAATGGACCAACTTCCCGGACACGACGAGTTTCAACAGCCGTAGCGAATCCTCTGGCAATGACATTGACAAAACTGTCATTTCTCATCGATCAAAGAAATACCTGTATTTTTATTTAAATAGTCAAATTATTGTTAAATGTTTAATCTCAAAGATGTTAAACAATGTTTGCATAAAACATATAAAATATGTTTAATATTAAAATTGATATTATTAAAATTTGATCAATTATTAAATTGATGATATTAAAATTTATTTAAATATTTTAACATATATTTGTTTAAATATTTTAATACAGTAATAAGAATTTTTATATTTTGAATATATAAATATACATATATATGATGAATTTGAGTTCTGTATTATATAAAAAATAGAAATAAAGTTTTATTATATACTAATTAATAGAATTAGAAAAGAATTTTTCTATTTATGCACTCATTGTATCATCTAGCTAATGTTAAAATCTATATAATAATAATTTCTTTTTAATTTTATATATTTATGATGTATAATATGTATAAAATAATATATATACAATTAAAAAAATATAGGTTAATTATATATGATCGGAACAATTGTAATGAAGTTCGAATGATTCAAATTTAAACGAGAGCACATGTTATGATTCTCGATCAGTTGTGTAAACTGTGTAACTAGTGTTAGTATTTTGTAATAGAACAGAGGAAGCATACATATAAATTGTAGTATTTATAGCAATATGTAAGTATCCAATACCACTATTGTAATGCTAATGCGCTACTCTCGTTAGCTTAACTTCTATTTCGTAATTTTAGTTGCATAAGATGCATCCATTTTTTGTTTCTCCCAAATGTTTCTTTTTTTCTCCAACAATAAGGAACGAAAGTATTAATTAATTTAAACAAAATGATTATTATTGTCTAAACAATCTAATGGTTATTAATGCAAGATACAAAATTTTATTATGTAAATACAAATTAAGGCAAGTATTTAATTTATTTACGTCAAAGTTTGATTAATATAATTGATTAAAATGATCATTATTTACTTTCCAATAATCAAATACTTTCCGTCAAGTTGAATTAAATTATTATTGTGCCATTAATATGAATTTCTAAGATGCATTGTTTATCATATACAATTACAGGAAATGAACAAGTTGGCCTATTTCGTATCGACATACAGATCGTTATAAAGAGAAGGATTTGAAAAGAATCTATAATGACAGTTTGAATCGAATTCGATGTGACGTAAAACGTGGAATTTATGGTGAAACACGTCACGATAGATTAAGTTTTAGTTCATGAATATTGTTAATTAATAAGAACATTAATATGCAGAATGGCTACGCTGGAGACAATGAAAATGATTCGCAAGTGGATATGTTAAACATTGTAACATATCCATTCGTAAAAAAACACAAACGAAATTATAATTCTGTGATCCATCATATCTGTGATTATCATCTGACAATAGATTTTTAAATAATTTATTGTCGAATAAAAATATTTCAAATATTCGATATTCGAAAAAAATAAATCACAATTAATTTTCTATTCTGTCTAATAAAATATTTTATCTAGCATTTTTTATTTTTTTATATTTTTCTAAATATATTAAAATCATGTGTCTACTCTATGTATCTTGTAATTTTTTTTTAACAATAAGTTGTATTTTTGTTAATATTATTTATTATACGTATTATTTTGTTAATATTATTTATTACATTTATATAATATTATATGTATAATATTACGATAAGTTTCAAAATTATTTTATTTTACTTTTTCAAAAATTATTTTTCTTTTCTATCGTCTGATAAGTGCGTTTTATTGCAAGTATAAATATAAATTATTTTTTTTATCTGATAAAAATCCTCGAGATATCATGTACAAACTAGATAAAAATCTTTTCCTACTTGCCGCTATTGCGAAAGAATGCCAAGAATAATGTTTTATTAAAAAAACAACACTAAAAATAATTTATTTATTAAATATAATATATTAATAATTTATTAAATATAATATATTAATGATAAAAATATCGTAAGTTAGGATGTATACTTTAGATTATCATCATAAAGATACATTATAAAATCGATATAATATTTATTTTTATATATTTATAACATAATATTTATATTTTTTATATTAAAGATTAAAATTAATTGTAGTTTTAAAAGAAAATAAAAAATAATGAATGTTTACCATTCTATAATTCGTGTACTATGATCGTGTATATAGGCAAGAAGAGTAAAATAGTAGAAAAAAAACAAAGATAGCATAAAATTTGTGAAATCAACATCATCTTCACCATACCATAAATGAAACTCAAAATATAAGGAATTCAAAATATAGAAAATAGTAGGAAAAGGATAAAGATAAGATAGAAATTAACCGTCAGTGCCATCTTTTGAATTCTGACGGCATCTCTTTAAGACAAATTAAAGTAAAAGAAGAATTGATTGTTAGCATCATCTCTTGATATCGGCTTATAAGGTATTTCTTTCTAAAAGTACTTGAGAGATGACGCTAGCGATCAATTCGTATTCTATTTTATCCTTAAAGAGATGCTATTAATCTTTAAGAGATGGCGTTGATGATCAATTGCTGTTTTATCTTTATATTTCTACTATTTTCTGTTCTTATGTATTGAGTTTTATTTGCGACACTCTAAAGATGGCATTGATTTCATAATTTTTATCCTATCTCCGTCTTTCTCTTATTATTTGTTCTCCTTATTTATATTTATTATTGAATAAATTTATTAAATTTATTATTGAATTTAAGAGATGGCGCTATTGTCACAATTCCACATCTTTCATGCGTGTATATATATATGGTATATATATATATATACACATATATTATATGATTTTTGTATATCGTGAATTCTGTTTCATCTTTCATTTCATTTTTCAAATAAAATAAATTGAAATATATTTTAATTAATAATTTTAATATTAAATAATATCATTATGAAAATTATACATATCTATGAGTAAGATTTAAAAAACAAATAACAGAACATTATTAGTTTATAATTTATTACTTTATAAAATTAATTATATTTATTTTTTAATTAATTATATAAAATATGAAATAAATAATGTTTATAACATTTTTATTATTGTAGTATATTTTTATATATTTTTTATTTTTAAGTTCTTTTAAAGCAAATTCATTTACTTAAAATATTTTTACACTCATATCAAATGATTTTTATAAAAATATAAAAAAAATTTTTATATATAATTATGAAGTATATATATAACATTTTACTAACATTTTTTTTAATTTTTAAATGAAATAAAAAAGAATTATTGCAGTTCTTAATTATTTCTAAATATCATTCTATTACTATTTATAAAATTATTTTCAAATTATCAAAAAATTAAAATATCTTTAGAAAAGTTTCAAGTTTAGCTTCACTAGATGGCACAATCACCTGTTACCTGAATTTTTACCTGTATAACTTTAAGCATAAGGAATCAACCAATCACTGGGTCGATCCTGGGGCCTCACTAAACCCCCACTCTAAGTTACCGCCTGGCTTGAGTGCAACAGGCTACGAAGTTCAGAAATTCGTTCGTCGTAAGCACGAAAACGATTTCAGCGTTTTAACGCTGTTTTTCATCACATCTACGTTATATTATTGCATACATATGGTCGTGTAGTGATTTTCGTGGAGTGCCATCAACAAAAACAAAAAGAGGTAAGCGATTTTTTTAAATTCGTTTAATATTTTTCTTACTATAAAGTGAATTGAACAACTGGTTCTTCATCGAAACGATATCGAATCCGCTATTCGACTCCAGTGGTACGCCAACTAAGGACATTCCGTGGAATCGCCCTGCTTTAAGAATGTGAAATCGTGTGGGTGTATTTCCATTAGTTGTAGTTTGTTTCTTGAATACTCTTTTTATACATACAATCATTCTAGTTATTTTACATTTAACACTACATAATTTTTCATGCATTTATTGCTGCCATGTTTGAAGAACAAATTTATATCGTGTTATCTATCATATTCTTCCTAGATTGTTTTTTTACCATTTTTTTTTAATTTAATTTCAATATCGTTTTAAATAATATATTCGATAGTCCCAGTTTCACTTCTTATTTATATTTAAAGTATAATTTCGATATTGTATCATGAATAATATAATCAATAATTTAAAAAAAAAACAAATTTGGTATGAAATATAGATATAAATTCTTTTAATTATAATTTCTATTATGTCAACTATATAAGATTCTAATTATTTTTATAAATTAATATTTATTAAAATAAAATATCAAGCACTTAATGTCAAATATCATGTTAAATTTTACCTTAAGATTAAAAGTTACGAACAGGTTTTAAATAACTTCGCAAAATTTTAATGATTAGTGCAGTATATTAAAGATAAAAGTTAAAAAAACATAATGAAATTTTATAATTAACTATACGAACTAATATGCATAAAAATATAATTATTGGTTATTGTTTTCATCAATAATTCCAAAATGAATTTAAAAACATCGCACATTTACTTTTACATTTCCGTGTTCATATCTAAAAATAATTATTTAACAAAGTTATAAATATATAACTCATATTTTTAAGAAAACAATATCTATATATTTTTAAATAGCTAAAAAATTTTAACTATAACTTTAGCTTAAAAATATTGTTTTTTTACGTTAATGTCAATTTTACTTTTTCGTATGATTAATATTAATTAAGCATGCATACTCAAAATATAAATATATACTTAAGAAACATTTAAATAAGAATAATTTAGTAATGCTTCAACAATTCGCTATTGTTCATTTACTTTCAATCAATTTAAACACAAAATAATGGCATTAATTGGAACAACAAAAGAATTAATTTTATATTTACACAAAAAATTAAATTTATATAATATACCTATGATATGCTATTTGATTATTATTGCATACCTTACATGCGTATCAGCAGTCATAGATTAGCTTGTATTTTTGTGTTCTCATTGGCGCCAACATTGAAACGATGAAAGCGATAAGAAACAAAAGACGCAAGGTAGCTTATTTATAAAAAATTTGATTGTGAATTATTCTGGAAGCTTTTATTATAAATGAATTTTTTTTTAAATCTTAAGAAATCTATTATATATTGATCATATATAAAATATAGTTATCTAAATAGAATATTTAGTATATACTAA